TTGACGAAGAGAAAGTTGATTACATCGCTCCAAGAGTAACAATAATCAACTTTGTTTCACACAAATTGAGTGAAAATTATTAAACACAAATAACGCCTCTATAATGGACACTATGTACGTACTTTGATCTCTGACAGAGCTGAGAGGTACCCTCGACGATGGGCAACTTGAAGGCATCACCAGCATCCATTCAATCTGGGCACCCGCGTCTGGAATTCCTACTTGTGCACGATTTATCCCCACAACCCTCGTCAACGATGCACAACTCCACCGACCTCACCTCAAGACATGCTCTCAGAGATTTATAAGCTGGAGAGAGGAAATGACTTTCAACCGAGGCTGCCTCCATGCCGAAAATGATGGGACTGTAATGCTCGGGGAATGAAGATGAATGAAAGGCCAGGAGATTTTTTAGAGCAAATATCTTTCTACTGACTAGCTACTCTGTAACACTTTGCTCACATGAGATGCTCCCCTGGTCCTTCCCGTGCCACCAGTCACTCGGAAATTGCCCCGCTGTGTGAGCACTTAAAACTCACATGCCCCAAAATTCAAAATTGCCTGACTTCGCAGCCATATCCTAACTACTGTACTCGTGTGCACACGAGAGATTTCCAGCTGACTGCAGAAAAATGACGTATGCTTTATCTCCAGCTCGATGACATTATGTTGTCTGGATGAAAAACTGATTGTCGGTAGTGATCTTCCTGTTCTAAGCGACAGGTGAGCTTACGAGCACATCAAAGTGACATATTTTGTACATCTACTTGACAAAATATTGATAGTAATGTGACAAATTTTGATGTTCATTCCATTGAGTGTCTGAATTGTGTGAAATGTGGGATTTTATTGATTCATAAGGTTTATGAAACCCCTAATTTTTTAATCAATACAGCGAATTTAACGAAGCAGACATAAGAGATCAATTTTTTCTTTGGACAATTACCATCTCAGAGATTATTAACTTTCTTCTGCATGCTTCTGGCTATAAAAATGCAAAAATTGGCTCAATAAATGAACTTTTCTTAAGCAATAATTAAACTCTCATAGTTTGTGGTAATCCCACAATGAATACATAATCCCATTGAGAAACTTATGGGAACTTCCAATCAAAAATGATGAAGCTGCAAATCAAATTGTTCCCTTATAAATTTTCTCCAACTATTTTCCCCTTGTCGATGTGAAACTTTCTCATTGAGATCATTCTGTATTCATGAAGTAACTTTTATCGAAGGGAGTCATGAAAAAATATTTTTACAGCCATTCACAGGGTCTGTGAGGAGAAATCTCTACGTTGCTTTTGAACTTTGTTTTGTGTTATATTTTTCTTGGGATTTATGGACTTTAGACAACACTGGCTCTATTGTTGGGCAAAGTGTCCAGCAATAACTATTATAATATGGGCGGATGTTGAAAAAGTTAAAATTATATTTTGCCCCAAAAGTTTGTGTAGAATAAAATTATTTATCCTTACTTATTTATTAAATATGTTATTGAATGATTATTATATTATATCAAAATACATATACAATGAATTAGTCAAAGAATCTTTCATAGAAATTGTTCATGAGAACAGGAGATGATTTCTCTTGCCCATGGTGCACTCGCTCTCCCTATCGCAAAGTCGCACGCGATTTAACGGAGGATCACGGGCGATCGGGGAGAGCTTTCATGAGCGCACCATTTCATGCGCTATCACTTGCGTAATGCAGTGATATTGGTGGGCATTGGCTTGAGCAGCTGACAAATTTCAAGTTCAAGGTCAGCTGCTCTGGACACTGGGTCATCTCGGTGCATCTTCACTTTTGAAATGTTCTTTTTTTCTTCTTGTGGAATTTCCCCAGCGATTTGTGGCTCATGAGAAGGATTCTTTTAATCCTTCTCGCCAGATCTGCTAATAGGGTGACTTTCCATCTCATTCACAGGTGTGTAGATTGTTGGCTGGATATTGCGGGGAGATTCGCTAGATTATTTGCTCTGCCGCTGAACTAACAGGAATTATTCTCATCATTAAAAGTAGGAGAGCCTTCAGAAGCTCAGAAGGTGTGCCGAAGGGGGTTTCTGATTATTTGCAATTAATTCTTTAAATAGTCAGTTAATGTAGTCATGTGATGACAGAGTATTATCACAATAATGAATAACTTGAGCGACACTATTTCAGATGGTGTGGTGTGACATCAAACGGATACAAATGCAAAATTGATGAATCTGTACTATGATTTCAGCTCAATAGACAATTTAAATTAATTGTTATTCTCGTACATGTATTAAATTGCGCTGCCGCTATTACAATAAATTAATAATAAGAATGTAATATGTATAGACGGAAGCTCTAATGAGAGTTTTGGTGGCGTCTTTGAAATCTTGGGTATTTTGCTCTTCCCGGAATTTTGCCACATAAACTATCCTTTCCCTTCGTGTAATTTGATATGATAATATAGCCAGAATAATATGTGTGATGAATTTGTAAAACTTGATTGAAATGGCGCATCTTGTCTGTCAAATTTTTCTCACACAGAGTTTTCACTGAGAATTTTAATAGGGCCTGATCCGAGAAAAATCGACGGAATAATAATAAGAAAAGCTATAGAAGGGATAGTAAAGGCGACACAAGAGAGACACACGTCAATAAAAGTAGAATGGAAAATTAATTCAATGCTGGAGTATAGCAGAATTTTCTATTTTTATTATATACCAACTCTAGATACACAGCATGCACCACTTCCTCTCCCATGTAATGTACATTTCCAGTTTAGTTTGGTCGTCTTATTCGATTTGATTGTTCCCACTATGCTTTCCCTCCGATGTGTGAGGGATGTTTATCAGACGGAGAGAAATGGAGCAAAGTTGTATGTACACTGGGTGTATAGTAAATTTTACGGGGGCAAAAACGAGCAGAACGAGGCACAGCGAAGAGCAAAATAAACCCCAAGTTATGTACGTGATATTGTACTGATATATACAGGGTAGGTGAGATCAAGTGTTTAAGAAAATTGGTTCACGCAAACACACTTTTGGGGAAGAATTGCTCAAAACAGTAGAATGCATTCAGATGCCAAGAGGGGGAATGATATATTTAGCATAAGATGAGATATTTATCAAAAACATCCCTTCACTCGGAGCATTGTAACTGAGCCTTCAGATATATTGAGAAAGAGTGTTATCGTGTCGCTGGAAAAGTGTGACGCCACTGGGACACTTCTCGCGATAGCAAACGATCATGGCAAGAAGCGAAACTATTTATGTATCATCGAGACAGAACGTGATGGTGGCATTGGGTATCTCTCTAAGTATGTGGATGACTTCTATGGCTTCTATGTATGTGAGCTTGACTCTCAGCAAGAACTCGTATATAATGTGATGTAGTCTATAAAGTGAAAAATCATAAAAGCTTCCCTAAAGCCGAGGGATATATCTGTGTAGTGACCATGATGCTCCACATCGTTTGCTTTCTCCCTTTTCTGCCATCGGTTTTCGCTTGCTGGGGCAGCGAAGCGCGGTATATAGAAGTTCTGTGTAGGTGGAATCTTAAATATACAAGCACATCCGGAAACTTGAGGTGTTCTGACTAAGCCCACCAGTCAAAAGCCACCACGAACCGCAGCGAAATAAAAGTGTGCTCAGTTCTGAGTACTGATAAGCTTACTGAACCTTTCCATACAGCGCCCATGCCTTCGTCTCATTTCCCTGAGTCATCTTTCAATGGAATTTACCCTTCACCCCACGTCACACCCCCTCCCGTTCAAATCGCACACCTTCGCATACGGTTAAATCCCAACGTGCAAACTTTCCTCAAGTTCCCTGATGAAATAGTGCGTTTCCGACTTTTCCTGCTCTCATTAATATTTCTCTACAGAATACATCTATGTAAATATGTGTTTCTTAACTTTTTAACTCTATTTCGTGGGGAAATTGCAATTGAGATAGTTAGATTGGAAGGAAAGCGGCCTTGGAAATTGGCAAGATACCCAACCAAATTGGGGTCTATGTGTTTGCAGAATTAGTAAATGCCCCGGGATAATCTGTGGTCAAAGGTGAGATAATCGGAATTACTAAAATATTTACCGTTAGGCATTTTGTACATTTAGTATAAGATGAGGTAGCAAGACAGGTATTTAGAGGAATATTTAGGAAAACCCCATCACAACATCGGGATATCAACAAAACACGGTAATTCTGTGAGTTTCTCCTTATGTTCGTGAATATATTAAATGCCTAGATATATATTTTGGTTCGTCCTAATATCTGACAACTTCCGTTGATGGCAAGATTTGAGAAAATCAAGTTTAAGGAAGTGAAGAAAGAGAGTCTGACGTTTTCCGATAACATTTCGTTTGGAATAGCAGCGAAAATAAAAAAAAATTTCTTCAGTTTGAAATTTTCGAAAATTGTGTGTGTCGGAATTCATCGAGCGTGGAAGTGAGATAAAAAGCATGTAATTTGATGGATAGATAGGCTGAGTGCAAAACCCAGCAGAGCATGTGTTCGACTCCAACTTGAGAGCTTTTCTCGCAAGCGGAAGTCGGCTCACTCACACATTCTCAGCCATGGCAGCCGCGTCCTGACGCCCAGAAAGCAGCTGCCACACTCGGAGGAGTATCGATACTCACTGGCGCTGGTGCAATTCTAGCTGGGCCATTTTCCCCAATCGTGGAAACCGTGAGAGTGTATTTCGCATGGGCGTTCTATAATATTTATATACGGTTCTCAGTGCTGTAAGAAAATGCCACTACATACGCACACTTTCTCACACAAAGCGCTCTGTAGAAAGATAGTGGCAGATTTATTATTGAGATAAATGTGCGGACAAAAACGTCGTGAGAATATTTAGATTTGCAAGTATATATGAATGATCCAGTGTAAAAACATTCGATAACAAACAGAAGCATTGTTTTTCTGTGCAAAAAGGTCACTTCGGGGCTTATATACATGAATAAAGCTGTGTATAGGTTGGTATTGTTTCTTCATTTTTTCAGCAAGAATTAATAGAAAAATATTGCAGTTTGAACTGGAATTACCAGTTAGAAATTTTTCGTCAAAACCTGTAGTCAAAGATTTTATTTTAGATACTTCTGCTCTCTGCGTAATTAGTAAGTTGAATTCCTCCGCAGTAAATCACGATGGGAAGTCTAAAGTGTCTTCGCGTCGTCTCTCCGCTGTCATGAGATGTGACAGTAGCACTGCCAACGAGCGACATATTCAGGCACACGTTTGCGCACACACTCAACATTCACCCTTGCAAATTGATGGGAGAGAGCCAAGTTTAAATTGGTCTCTGAGAGGCTTGTTCTCACGAGTGGCTCCGGTGCTCACGAAAGAGAAATTTGTGTTCTGGCGCTTCTGCTATCACAACTCTCTGCTTTCGTTCCCAGTCACAGTCAGTTGGTCCACAATTAAATGCCGTGATGTTTGTGTCCGCCGTACGCTCCGGACTGTGTCTACAGTGCTGAAGCCTGGTGCAAGTGCTTCGCAGCTGAGGTGATAGTGGCTATCGGTTGATCCCAGCAGTGCTCGAGCCCACGGTCAAGACTCGCGCGGGAGGACTTCCTGGACTTGGGGTGAGCACTGGGCCCCGAGCGGTCTGCCTATGCCGAAGTGTGTGGCGCGCGGGGAAGATTTTGTATTTTGAGCAATCACAAAACCGCCAGGGATTTTCTTTATCAATAAATCAAGCAACATTTTTCCCATGACTCCTCCACAGCACGTCCTAAGTGTACGCGTATAATTAATCAGTGAGCTGATTCCTCTATATACACTGAAGGAAATCTATTAATGCTGCCACTATAGTGCATATACACACTCCCATATATATAGTGCTGAGTGATTCTGTGCGATCAAGAAGCTCTCTCGTTTGAGGCGACATAGAAAAAATAGAAAATGTTATTTTTGAGTGAAAAATATGATTTGTGGCTAAAAATGTCCCCGTCACTTTGCCAGCAATAATGAGTTGAGTGTTGTGAAATTGCCAAAAACTTTTCCGTGGGATTCTTTTTATCGTGGGGCACAATATAGCCTGTCCACGTAGCGTATAGGCCGTTCGCCGAGTGCGTGAACGTGATCAAATATTTCTCTGCCGAAGGGTGGCTGCGGAGATAAATTTCAAATCATCCCCAAAGTGGGCCGCACTCCAGCATCCTTTCCGCCGTGAGATGTTCAGTGCAAATGGCCAGGACTAGAGGAGACCGTAATTCACCGAGAGCAAAGGAGTTACACACAAAATATAACTGTTTTGGCGCTAGAGTTGATGTGCTGTGCGGTGCCACTTGGCGACATTAGAGATCTCCATGGGAGTGATTAACAGTTCAATTGTGGAATACAAAATGTGAGTTTTGTTGTGTAATTAACAAATGAGTTGCGAGGTGAGCCACAGGGGGGATGCTGTGTGAGAGATTGAATGATCAAGTGAGATGTGAGGGACATAAATAAATTAATGTGAACAATCACATGCAAAATTGTGATTCACATTTCACGTCAACTTCCCGTATTATTTGCTATTTTTCACATCAAACGACACATCGCCTCATGACTTGGAGAAGAGTTGGAATCACAGAGACCTTTTTCCACTCACTTTGCTCTACAAATTTCCTCAAGATACCCACAAGAGCTGTACAAGCGATGGTGGATATCTTCGCAGAGTGCTCAGAGGCTTGTCGCAAAATCTGACTTTTACCAGAATTTTTAATATCTGCGAGAGAGTTGACATTTGAGAAATATACGTGCGTTTATTCTGTAGGCGACAACAATATGTTGTTCTTCTCTTAATGGAATATTCTAATGATTTATTGTCGTTTTTCCGAGGAAGTTCTCATTGAGCATTGAGATGTACTTTTGATATTTTTAATCAAGTCTACACTGACAATATTATTTTATATCCGCAGAAAACTGTGCCAATTGATGCATTTATATGTAGAATTATGACAAAAAATTTAGCAGAGTCTCTGAACTTTGTATTGACACATGGATATCAGAGCACTAAAGCGAAAGCTTTTATCTGCCGCATGGCAAAAGTGGGTGAAATTTGATTTTGGTATCAATAAATAAGCTTATCCATAGCCTCTGGTCAATAGTCAAAGGCTAATGATTTCGAAAAACCGTCACATTTACAATACCTTTCATGGCTAATGGTTTTGGCTTTGAGATTGTCCACGCGCGTGGTAAAACGTCGTTTTGTGGACTTTGGCAAACCACGAGGGGTGAAAATTTTCAGTAATTAAAAAATCGATGAAAGCCAAAATTTCTCTCTTGCCACACGGAAAAATGAGATCGAGCAAGTGAGCGAGACAAGTGGTATTTTTGCCAACGTACCCAAGATTTATCTATCTACTATACATATATAAATATGGAAAAAATTAATTGATGAGAGGGAAATACATCTTCATTACTTTTCCTCCACTTTGCTGTGCGATATCTATTCCTTTGCTGGTGGCACCCATTCTGTCTATACCACTCTGGATGCTGTATCTATTAACTTCACAGGGGGTACCGATGACTAAGGGCAAATATTAATAAAAGAATGTCTGACAATATGGTTTCTCTGGAAAATTTGTACAACTCGCAAAAAGGGAACTATATTCTCACATTGAGAAGAAAAGAACCTTCTTTTGTATCATCATATACTTTCTTGTATTTGTTTAAGATACTTTGTATACTCTCCGATACTTTGTTGTGCTAAGGCAGAACGAGAAAAAACTCTTTACCTACCCATAAAATATACTATATGATGTCATTTCACCAATAGCAATTTGTTGTCAAGTTGATGTATTAAGAGAAAAAAAAAAGTTCGGGGAGAATTTCTTTCTCAAAATCTGATTTGGATTTCATATTCGCTTCTTTTGGCAATAAACTTTTGCATTTCCTTCTCAATATTGTTTATTCTGCCATTTGAATTTGTATGGGATAAGCTTGGCGTGGAACATTTATGGCAATCACACCAAAGAGCTGTTATAAAATCTTTTATTGAGAGATTATTATTTTCGTCCCGACAGAAATTTGGCATTATACCTCACACGTGTATGTTTGAGAACGTACGTACAATTCGGGTAACATACATTATGCATTAATATGAATTTGACAAATGTTTGGGTCAAAAAAGGTATGTCAGAATGTCACAAATATACTCCTCAATAGGCACCAGTAACCATGCCAGAACTCCACCGCGGAAAAGTTCAATAAAACACAAAATAAACCGAAAATCTATAATTACGAGACCACGAGACTACATAATCCCGCCAACAGTTGGAAAAACAAACAGAGTATGGGTACTAAAATGGAGTAATTTTCTGCCCAGATGATATATTAACCACATTGCAATTAACAAGCGACATGAGCCGCAGTGTCTTCAAACAGAAGCCACTTCTACACGCGCAGGTGGAAAAATGTTTTGAATATTTATTGCTGAAATTTGCGGAAAACAAATACATGACGACACTCTAACTCATGCCATATAGAGAGCGTCAGAAATTTATTCACATGACTGACTTATAAATTCCTGATTAACTTACTTCAACTTTGATTCACACACTGAGTCTCTGCAAAGCGGCAAAGCAGTAAAAATATTATTCGTATTGATTTTGCCGTGTGAAATTGGCGCCATACTTTATCATGACTCTTCTCACCTGGGCGAAGTACTTTACCGCAAATGTCCCAGGGAGAGATTATTGTGATGGGAATCGACATATCGCACATGACGATTTCGGATTAGGTACTGCAATTGTGACATATTGCTGGTATTAGTGAAACTGTGTTTTCGGCAGAAATTTCCGATAGCTGAGCCGTGACTATTGCAACTCATCTCCATCGACAGGGCAACGAGATCCCCCAAAATACGCCAACATCCCATGCTTTTATCTTACCAAAATCTAGAGAGGAATATAAACATATTTCTATGAGATTGTGTGCTGTACATTCATCCATATACATACATTCAATTCACTGCTATCTCTTATTCCTCTTCGGATTTCCATATTCCTTTTTCTTTCATGTAAATTTGAATTGGTTATGGAATTTTTACTATTAATGACTTGGGGTTTTATTTTGATGCGTGCAAAGGGATTTTTATGACCATTTTATGAGCTCGAAATTGAGTGTTTACGGAGGTTGTAAATTTATAAGGCATTCTCCTAAATCAATACTCATCCTTCCGGGCAGAAAATAATTTTAAATACTGTGTTAACCAAATATTCCAATACATAACTTTAAATATAAAAAATAATAATTTTATCCTTTTTTAAGGGTACAAACATGTGTAAAAATTGTTTAAATACCCATATTTTCGAATTTTCCAATCAAGATGCAATTGAATATGAACGTTCCAATTATACAACATTTTGCATATCAAGTTTCATATGCAGTTAATTTTTTGTGTGTGGTGTGAATGTATATATAATTCTGCATTAATATTTAAATTGATGAATATGGATTTTACAAATTTATTTCTCACTCTTTTCATTTATACAAAATATTTTTAATCGTTTCATTGTATTTACAAATTAATTACATGCGGTTAGTAGAGAAATAAAACTTTACAATGAGTTAAAAAATATTTTTTGGAATGTTTTGTACGTTTTATGTCAACGCAATACTTAGCCTTTTGCATAAGTACAGAAATGTCTTCCTTACATTTTAATATTCTTTGAAAAGTCCAGGCATTCTGGAGTGTATGTAATCGTTTTCCTCTGACAACTCTTGTCAAGTCTTCTCGTATAAATTAGATGCAACTTATTGGTTGAGACATGTAGGAATATAACTTGAGAATTTAAAACTTAATTTGACGTATAATGTAATACGAATGCAAGTGAATTTGATATCTTAGCAAAGTTTTGCGATTTGCGTATTCACTCACGTGAAATGATTTCTCTTTACTTTAGAATCAATTTTGTTACATCGCAGTGTGAACCATTCGCGATATCAAGGGATTTTGGCACATTTCAAAAGCTTCCAGCAAACGCTGATTTTGCATTTTGCTTACTTAGAGCTAAGCCAGAGATATCTCATAATTTAAGGAGATTTCCTTCAAATCTGCACATTTATCGTAATTTAGGACTTTTATATCTTTCGTGTTGTATAAGGGCGAATATTTAGAGATGTGGTGTCACTTTACCACCTACTTTAATGTAATTTACGAAAAATATATACACACAACATCTACTTCAAAAGCTCTATATTTATAGTGAAAAGGCGCTAAAAATTTGAGAAAGAATTCAAATAGTATAGCCTCACTTTAATATCATCAGAGTCGTGGATATATACAGATATATAGATGTGCACGTATAAATCCTATTTCCATTTTCACGCGCTTTCTTATTCCATTGGGTGTTGTGGGGGACCGTGAGTTACAGACGCGAATGCGTATCATTTATATTTATATATAGCACGCAATACAGATAACATAGTGATGAATTGTGGGGATATCATATAAATTGTATAATATGGTTTGCTGAGGCTCTCTTCATCATGTTATATATAATGATTATAAATTTTCAAGATATTATTGTGATTTTTATGACAGTGATTGGCGAAGTGGTGCTCTGAACATTGTGGAATTATATATATAATATGTAATAAATGTACGTGGCGGTCGTCAATGAGTGAATGGATATTCTCGAAAATACAAGGATTAAGATGATAGTTTATGATTTTGTCCAAGACCCACAATTATCATCTCAATTTATCTAGAATTCAGCCAGAGTCAGCGAAATGAGTCACTTTACTTTTACATCAAGTTATAATTGAGATAGGAAAATGCAATTGCATTTTCCAAGAAAAAAAAACACACTTCCAAACTTTTCCACTTTGCTCAGTTGGGACGTTGGGACTCGTCAAAATTTGCATTACGAATCTCACTGGGGGATAGGAAAGTCTCTCCGCCACTCGCCATATTTGTTATTGTGGAATTTCATTACGGAACACATTGAGTCAAAAATATACTTTTTCCACTTGAAGCTGTCATTTTAATTGCTGTTCGAGTTCTAAGCTGGAGAAACAATTTCAGATTTAATCTTCATACTTATCTTGGCACGTGTAAGAAATTTGTGATGTTTTCAACTGCTGGGGATTATGCTGGCTGACAGTCGTCTTCAACTACCCAGTGGAAACATTCTTTGCAATGACAGAATGTATGCTTCTGATTTGACAACTTGAGGAATTTATTGCTTTTGTGGGTGATGAAGAGAAAACTCCACAGGAAGAATTTAAATGTCAGAGAGATTTTTTGGAAACTGACTCTCTCTGCCCACAAATGCTGTCAGGGGAATTTTAAACTTTTAAAATATAATGTATGTATCTGTACAAGTATTTATGCTTTTAGCATAAAAGGTCGTATTT